TGCTCATACTTCTGTTAAGGTCGGTGTTTCAGGTGGCCTGGCCCAGTTCTGTGTGTGAGTGGAGTTTGTCCTAAGTGTGATTGGCAGAGTTTGGCTAATAGGTGGAGGTTGGGTGTGGGCAGAACTTGGCAAAACCGTGACTGGTCGGCTTGACTTCTCTTGTGGGGCAATTTAAACGAGGAAGTAATAGTAAGAGGGCTTTAAAGTTTGATAAACAAATTAAGAAATAAAAAGGAATAAAATTTTATTAGAGCAAAACTATTTCTTCCTGTTATTCAATCTGCCTTCATGCCATATTCTAACTGCCTGCTTTCAGAAAGAGTGAGGTGATRAAGATTTAATAGTGCTGTAATGCTGTGGAACATCCAATAAATCATTAAGAACCACTTACAGTGGAACAGTTTGATAACATTTCAGATTGTTTATACTGACGGCATTATTCCACATTTGAGCAGCATTAATTTTGCCAAAAACATTACAACTGTTTATTTTATATTTAATTTACCATAAAGATTTAGGATTTTTTTCACTTTCTTTAAAACTTTTTATTATAAATTAATATTTCAGATGTAAAGAAAATCAAACCTTTCTTACATTCCCATTTTAAATCCTTGAACAATGCAGAGCAGTCCTGCAGAGACGTGGTGCATCATTACGAGAAATATTCCATTCGCACAAATAAAACCCTCTGCAATCTCTATGATTAATGAAAATGACTGGGCCACGCTTTCCGCCCATCTTGTTTCTATCTCTGATCTCCTGCTTTATCTCTGTCATCACTCTGCCCATCATGTTTTGCATCATCCTTACCCACATATCGAGTCTGGAAATCTAAAATGTGACGTGTGGACATCTTGCAGAAGATAAGCCGTGGGCCACAATTATCTGTTCTTCTTTATTTTTATTTTTACTCTTCTTTTTCTTGCCATCAGTGAAGTGGATTTCAGGATACATCAGCAGCTCCGTTTGGCAATCTAAAATCCAGTTTTCCAGATTTCGCAGCTCTATCCTTCTGTGAGGGTCTTAGTGTGGAGATGGGATTCAAAGGTTCTGCAAAAAACTGCTGTCACTGTCCTTCCATCCGTTCCATTTTTGATGAAAATCGAACCGGCCTTGGGTTTCAGTGTTAGACTCGGGGGGTGGGGGG